AATTTTTTTATTAATATTTTATTGTATAATTGAAATTTGCATGCTTGCAGAAATATTTATAACCAAAATCATATTTATTTTTTCGAAAAAACAGCCATACACATCGACATGGTACATAAAATTACAAAAAAGAAACAATAACTTCAAAAGTATGAAACTATTTACTGAGTTGTTACAACAATTAGCAGCACAAACCATAGACAAATTGAAAACGCAAAGTAATAAAGAATTTTAATTATAAAACAATAACAAAAGAACAAACAAAAATTTACGCAAAAAATTAATGCGGAAGTTTGAACGTTTTTGATTGGTGTTAATATATAGCAGCAATGATTGTATATACCAATGTGTATATAAATTTTTAAATTAGATTTTCAGCGTAGAAAATATGTTTACATCATTTTCTCAACCTAACCACAAAAAATTCATTTTGCCTTAGGCTAAACGACAGCATAGCATATAGGTTGTGTGCAGTTTATTATCTGTATATTTTTTTTTTTTTTTTTACTGAATTCAAACACTTTTACACAGTCAACAGCAAAATGGCAATAGTCCAGCAAGACATAAGCAACAAATAGTACCTTATTTAAAGTAAAATCAAAGTGAAACTACAATTCTATAGCGATTTTTTACAAAGTAAGAGAACGCAACAGAAACCAATTGAAGGCAATAGAAGTTAAAATAAGTTAGCAAACAAACAATAAAAATAAAAAAAAACAATAACTTGAAATAGGGAATATGAATACAAAAACACAAAAACACAAGAGTCCTAAAATTGCAAAGCCAAATAGTACAAGTTCAACAAATTTTCCCCACCAAAACACTTAATGCATGCTACAAGTGGCCGGTGCTTGGTGGACGAAAACAAAGAGAATTTTTTTCAACTAAAAAATATGATAATTTTTAGTGTGTGAATTTCCAAAAGTGATGCCATTGCAAATTATTAATAAAGTAGTATTTCTTAAATATGTAAATGAAGAAAAAAAATTGAAAAAAAAAGAAATTGATAAAAAATAGTTTTTGTTTTTGAGACTCAAAGAAGTGCTTTTGTAATGCGCACACATACATACATATGTATGTGTAAACAACTTATTTACAATTAAACTATGTGTATGTGTAATAACCAGCAGCTTTGCTTTAAAATTTTCATAATTTTTTTTATTAACAATTGAAAATGAGTAAAATTTGTTAGATATACGTACATACTTACTTCCCACGCCACAAGTGTCATTAAATCATTAAACAAGAAGCAACATTGAATATTAACGCAATACAAAACCGCAAAGCAGAAATAGAAAACAAATAAATAGCGCAAAATATTCAAAAGAAACACAAAAAACAAGCGACTATAATGTGCTCAAATACAAAACCTACAAAMACATACATACATATACATAAATGTCACAGTAGCCGTGTATGGTGCGCTGAAAGCRTTTGCGCATGCGCTAAGTTTAGCTTAAATTGGCTTGCTAATGTGAACACTCTCTAAGAGWTGCGAGAGATTTGAGAGATTCACGTAGCTGGCACTTCTTGCTTTCATATACGCAGGCTACAAACGTTTTCACAGCYACTTATAGCTGCTGTGACCCATAGCAACCGCATGTACCTGCAATATTTTATGAAAAAGTTAAATGATACAAAAGCAATGTTGACATAAACCTTATTAGAAAAAAAACTGATGTTAAAAAATAGCGTAAAATAATATTAAACCAACAGGTGTGGATAAGTAATGCAGCAGGGCTTCAGGTGGTCGCCTAAAGTGCAAATTTGCAACTGAATTTAAGAACTGTACGATTATCACGAAGAAATATTCAACAAAATACATCAAAATTCAAAATTTTGCAACTTTTTGCTGGCTTCGGCCGCTTTGAAGTGTCCAAAAGGTGTTTTCCATACAAAAGCGCTTTCGCACAGACGACACACACTTGAAGTCAGCGACGCGCGGCTTATCSATGCACTTTTCATTTTCCTTAACATAACCTTAAAAACGCTTTTGGCTTGCAAAATCACAAAAAACTTGTACCAAATTATTTTTTTTTTAATATTGTTTTGTTTTATCAAGCACTTTCGGAAGGCAAAATTCTCAAAATTTTTTTTTTGTTAAAAACAACCCGTTCAGTTGAAGGTTAGGTTCTTATAAAAAATAAAACAAAAAATGAAATATTTTTCATTTTCTATTAATGGATTGGTAAATTGGGTGCCTATAAGTAAAAATAATAATAAATAAACATTTAAAGAAGTAGTTAAATTTTTTATATAGTATACGCATAAATAATATATACATACATATATGACAAACAAGGAGTGAAAGAATTTGATTAGAGCAAAACAAACAAACAAATAAGTGAATAAACAGTTGAGCTAAATAGCAAAAACAATAACCCAAGAAAACAAAACATAGAAAATTGATAAATATGTAGCGGAAGAAAAACAAATTAAAATAAACCATTCAAAAACGTTCTGGACAACTTTTTGTAAAACATGTTTCAGGAAACATGCAATGGAAGAAGTAAAAAAGAATAAAATGCAAAAAGCAAWAACAAAAAGGAAAAGGAAAATTGCGAAACTGTTGGTTGGCTGCAAGACAGACTACTGAAGTGAAAAGCAGACATCTGAAGTGTTTTCAGTAATTGAGTCTGCAGTCTGGCTACGCCCCAACAGTTGCCACAATTTTCGTTGTACTATTTTTGGTTCGAAACAAAATTTTTCGTTTAGGCACACCTTTGGAAAACATTTTTCTAGTACTGGTTTTCGCATAACGGGAACAATGAGCAGCGCGCACGCCAACACAACAACAACAAGTGTCGAGTGTTGGCGTTGGCGTTGCTGCAACAAAATTTCAAAATTCAAAATTCAAAAATTTCAAAAAATTGCAATTTTGGCTGAAGTAAAAAAAGAAAAAATTAAAAAGGCAACAACAAGCAAACACAACAATAGCGTTGGAACTAAAAATAATACTTGCAACACATTTGKGTTTTTTACTGCAAGCGGGCGAAAAAAAGATTTGTGTATGAAAAACAAAAAAATGAAATGTAAATTGAAAACCAAACAGAAATGG